ATGGTGGTTTGATCTATGAGGTCTTTCTGTGCCGTAGCCCAGAGAAGATTTGTGGCACCATCAAGAACAAGTAGAATGATATACTTGTTCTTGTGAAGTTCAACCTCACAATGATCAGCAAAAACAACATCACCAAAAACATGAAGCTCTAATTCCGGAGACTCTGGCTCGTGGCGGAGGTGCCACTGAAGTGTTACAAACACGGCAGTTCCTGACAACTGATTCATACTTCTCTAAAACAGAGTCAGGAAGCTTCAACATAGAAACACGTCTACGAAACTGAGTAGGACTCATATGGTAGTGCTTCACATGAAGCTTATAAAGCTCTACCTTGTCCTCCAGTCTCTGCAACATCTTCCTATATGCCGGTGTCATTGCAACTACTTCACTACCAGGTAATGGGATTGAAATCCGCCTAGGCTCAAGAGCGCCGTCACCTGGTTCAAGTGGTTCATGTTTATCACTTGATGGTCCTTTTGATGCTTTAGGAATTTCTACAAGTTCACCTTCTGGCCTCTCAGGTGGTTCTGAAGGAGTATAACCCTCAGGATCATCACCTTTTAAATCCTGTGGAGGCTCAGATGGTTTCGACTTGTGTCCTTTCCAAAATGGATCAAAACCCTTTGAAGTATACCGAAACTTCGGCGGCATGGGCTTTTCCGCGGCACTGGATGGTGCACCTTCCTTCTCTGAAGAGAAGCCTGGTTCCCTGTCCTTTGCAATGGGAAGCTTCTCTGAGGAGGAGCGCACCACTGCATCGGGATCACCAATGCCACGGTGCTCAATGCCAGCCTTCCTGATCTTTAGATCTGGAATTTTGGCATCTGGCTTGAACTTAAAAATTGTTCTGCCACGCCATTCATAGCCAATTTGTAGGTCCTTCCATTTTGCCTTGCGCCAATCATCTATCTTCTTGATCTCTTCTCCACCTTCTTTCTTCTTGATGATTGTCAGTCGCAAGTCTTCCAGCAAGTCAGTGTCTACAGGACAGGACTTAGTTGCTGGGAAAAGAATCTTCCTGTAATCCTTGTGGTGACGTGTCAGTTCTCTCTTGTGAAGATCTACTTCCCAGTAGTCAACCACAGGATATGCATGCTCAGCTTCATCTTCATCACTATTGTGATCAACCGAAATATGGCCATATTCATAGTGAGTGAAGTGAGAGTAAAAGCTCTTCTCGCGCCGAGCCTGCAAACGCACGTCAGACAGATACCATGCAATATCTTGGAAGTCCAAAACAAGATGAGTACTGGCTGCAACCTTCAACTCCAAAAATTTGATACCAAGAGGCACCGATGTCAGGTAAACATGTTGAGGTGTCAGCCTGAGTTCAAAGCCTAAGTTCCTCATCTGTGGCAAGCTCATAAGCAAGGGGACTTCTCCTTCTTCAACTATGTCGAACTCTGTATTATGGATCGTCCATGCACGATCATACATGTAAATCACCAGTTTCTGAGAGCAAGAAGCCTTCTGAGAATTGGCAAAGTAAAACTTGCTCTTGGTAGACTCAAAAGAGTACCATAATCCACAGTTTGGGTGATTGTCGACATAGTTACAAAAATAATCGACTGCACGCCTTGATCCCATAGCTCTAGTGCATCCAATGTCCAGGATTGCAATAGTTGGCGGGAAGCGATTCTCAGTCAAAAATGAAATAGCCTGCATCTCCTTCACTTCTTCCTCAGCGCTCATAAGCGCAAAGCCATCAGGAGCATCTGTGAGCGTCTCCTTTGACAAAGAGTACCTCACAGGGGCACTCATGTCATCGAAGATCATCTCACCATTGTTGACCTTACAGTCAGCTTCATCTTGACATGAGGTCATCATGCCTGACAGCAAGTTCACCTCACTGTCATGGACTTCAGCTGCTGTTGTCACACAATGCGCAAAGAAACCTTGGTGGCTTCCTGATGCTTGTGAAGATCTTGAAGGTGCAGGCAAAGAACGTGGCTGTTGTTGATTTGCATAGTTTGCATCCTGTTTGCCATCTCCTTTATCTTTTCCTTTTCCTTTCTGGCCTTTTCTCTTGCCTTTTCCTTTTCCTTTGTGGGAAAACCATGCTTCTTCAAGTTGTTGCCAAAAGTCATGGGCATCTTCATGTTCTCCTTGAAGATAGTCATTCATATCTTCGGCAAGAATAGCATCATATGCTACTTGGTTTGACTCCCAAGTGTCCTCATAAGGATTCTCTTCAAAATACTCAACTGGATAAGTTGTCGATTGCTCATCAGCATAATGGCCTTTACCTCGTCTCTTTCCTTTTCCTTTTCCACGAGGTCTGAAGAATCTGCGGCCTGATCTTCCTTTACCTTTTCCTTTTCTTCTTCCTTTTCCTTTGCCTTTTCTGGCTCTTCTTCCTTGGAATCTCCTCTGGAACCAAGAGAAGTTCTGTTCATCATATACCCAAAAGACATCGTCCAGGGCATCAAGGAATCCTTCTGTTCCATCTTCTTCATCTTCGGCCCAATAGCCATATGTACCATCGAGTTCTCCTTCGTCTAGTACGAGAAATGATCTTCTACCTCCAGCACCTGTTGGCTGCATCAGAGGATTGTCTACTGAAGTCTTTGTTGTGCAGAACATCTCAATGAAGACTGTCCTCAACTCTATTGTCGTGTATTGCTGCAGGACTCTACCACGATGGGTCATCAAAGAGGTCAAAGTGTTCCTCTGGTCCTGAGACAAATCCGCAAGTGACAGCATGAGTAAGGCAATGAGATTCTCTCCTACAGGAAAATCATTCTGATGAAGAATTCTCAGATTGCCATTGACATTCTGCATGATTTCCTGTACTCTTTCCGCTTGGAGCCACTCCATTCATCGCTGCATCTGCTTGCATCTGAGCTTGTACCTGAGGATGTACTTGTGTCACTGGATCCAACATGTCCATCCAACTGCTCATAAGCCTTTGGAGTAGGATCTGAAATCTTGTCATCCATTTCATCATATCAGCTGATTCGCGATTGAAGCGCACGAATTGCATAAACCTATACAGGAATACATTGGTTGATCCTTTCACAAAATATGGACGTAGTACTCGTTTGAAGTATTCTACTCCTGCTCCTGGTGGATCATTCGCCTTCAATGCATCTCTGTCTAATACTCGCTTGTATACAGCTGCTTCTCCTTCTAGTCGGTTTCTCAATGCTGGTCCTCTCTTCTCATCCTCCAGCTCGGTGATATCGCACCAATCGTCTATGGCATCCTCATAGGAAAACCATGAAGTCTTTCCATCATAAGATGGGGGCACCTTTGTAGTGACCTGTGTTGTCATTGCTATCGCTGCTGGTTCTCTTCTCACATGCCTATTCACGTAGGCTGCTGGCTCATAAGCCACATCCGCATCAGGCTCTTCCCAGTCGTCAATCCAATCCATGGCCGGTTGCCCACAAGCAGTTCTATGCCTAGGAAAGGAGCTCACCTGGGTCTTCCAGGATCACTGCTCCGCTACCACTGAAAGAGTGACTAGGGCGTACACGGTTGAGGTGCAGACCGCTAGTGTCTTTTATGCGCAGAGTCTTATCCTCTTAGCGTCTTGAGCCTTGTGGCAGTCAAGCATGGACACACTAGATAGGCCACTGGAGTGGAACCTGTACAAGTAGGCCTCTACATTTCAGGGTGGGTTCATTCTTCAATAGTACCCCCCCCATCGAAAGAATAACAAAACACCCCTCCTATAGTTGTAACAATAGCACCCCCCCAATTATAACGACAAACCGGATCCTTCTTTAAGGCCGTTGTAGCACAGGATCCTTCTTTAAGGCCGTCGTAGCACGGGATCCTTCTTTAATGAACTGGAAGAGATCGACTCTCAGTGACATAGGCCATATGTCGACTTTTCGAGCCACTACCACGTCGAGAGCGGTAAAGGCCAGGTGCCCGAACACCATCTAGCGAACGACCTTCCAGGTTGGTCAACCTGCAAAGTATCCATCTTTTGACCCACAGTCTACACAGTAGCCCATGGGCCCACATCTTCCGGGGGTGGGCGTTCTCCTTGACCAGGCCTTAAAGAAGGACGCTGTGCCACGAGGGCCTTAAAGAAGGATCCTGCGCTAAGAGGGCCTTAAAGAAGGATCCTGTGCGACGACGGCCGTAATGAAGGATCCTGCGCTACGATCGCGATGGCCTTCGACTCGCGTCCGAGCGTGCGCGGCCCGCGTCTGTTCACAAAAGCTGAGTCTCGGCGTTCCATCGGCCGGGGGGGCCCCCCCCCCCGCTTTTTAAGTTTGCTCGCTCGCACTCGTGTTCGTGTAGGAGTGTACCCCTCGTTCGACTACAACCCGACGCAGTGCTCTCACGGACCACTCTCCATCACCATTGTGGAGAGAACATCACCGATATATCGACACCCCAACACTTGGACGGTCCGAGCCTTTTTCACCATTCTCGGCTGGTGTGATCTCCACGGCTATTAGCGACACGCTGTTTGTATATACACAAACGTTGTGGCTGTCGATGGCTGTTTGATCTCTTCCAGACAATTCTCCTTCTTTATGGCCTGTAAGAAGGATTCGACGAGGGGGTTTAAGGCCATCGTAGCACAGGATCCTTCTTTACGGCCGTCGTAGC